GGGGGGGGGGGGGGGGGAGAGCAATGCAGCGTCCAACCCATAGCATATCAGGATCCGTCCGAGGACACGGGGTTAGGTAAACCTGGACACTGCTTGTTTTCTTCTTCTTCTTCTTCTTTTTCTGGGGGGGGAGGGGCGCAGCGGGGGAGGAGGAGAGGGAGGAGGAGAGGGAGGGGAGCTTTGCTGGGGGTGCGTACCTCAGCCAAAGCATCAAAGGCATGAGGCAGGTTGCTCTCTTTCAGATACTGCAGGACCAAGCGCACGACGTCGGCGCTTTCCACCTCCATCTTGCGCGGCGACCGTCGTCCTCTTCAAGACCACAAACCGCTCTCTCCCTGCAGCCTCTGCCAAGCACTGGGCACGCAACCGATCCCTCAGCTCCAGGCCCCACAGCGGCGACACAACCCGAGGCAGCAGAGAGCAGAGACTGAGAGAGAGAGAGAGAGAAGAGAGAGTGTGTGTGAGAAGAGAGATGGAGAGAGAGAGAGAGAGAAAGAGAGAGAGAGAGAGAGAGAGAGAGAGAGAGAGAGAGAGAGAAAGAGAGAGAGAAAGAGAGAGAGAAGAGAGAGAGAGAGAGAGAGAGAGAGAAAGAGAGAGAGAAAGAGAGAGAGAAGAGAGAGAGAGAAGAGTCAAGAGAAAGATGAATTGGTGAGCGAGAGGGGGTTCTAAGAGATACTGTGATTAACATCACACTTCAATCAATCCAAAGCGACACAATAGTCACACTTTACCTCACACACACACACACACACACACACACACATACTCTCTGTCTCTCTGACATTTGGTCTCTCTCTCTATCCTTCTCTCTCTCTCTCTCTCTCTCTCTCTCACACACACGAGCGGAAGAGAGAGGAAGAAACGGCAGCGCGGGAGCAGTGGCAGCGCCGGAGGGCTGGCCCATGATCTTATACGGTTGTTTGTGGAGAAGACACTTGCACTGCATTTTGCATTTTGGGTACGTGAATGTGAGACAAGGGAGTCTGGGGTTTGAACACATCGTGATGGTGATGATGATGGTCTGGGTCTCACCCCGTTGGTTGCTCCTGAATCGGTGGCGGCAGTGACTGGCCGCTGGTGTGCCCGAGCGGACGGACGGAGCGCCACGCGTGTCGTAGATCCACCCCACCAAGGCGCTTGCATCATGACGGAACGAGTCTTCTTCACAGGGCTGAAGACGCAGTACCCGCAAAGTATGTCGCGCCGTGCGTGCACCGGTCGTTCTAGCCAGCTTTTGTTACCCCAAGCACCGAACCGAACCATCCGAGAGCCCAAAGGCTGCTTGCACACACACACACACACACACACACACACACACACACACACACACACACACACACACACACACACACACACACACACACACACACACACACACACACACACACACACACACACACACACACACACCCGTTGACGCGATGCTGTTCCCGTGTAGATGCGTTTCGTGAATTTGCGCGCAGCTTGGGTCGCGCCCACAAGTTTGAACTTTCCCCCTCCTTTGCTTTTGTGGTGGGTTTTGCTACCACATCGCCACTGGCCGATCAAGGCGGCCAGGCCAAGCTTCGACATGATTGAACGCCACGCCGGCTTAGCCTTACCATTGGCCCCGTCATTTTTTTTTTCCTTTAGACGTACGATGTTCAAGATGCAGAGCGCATTGCCAAAAAGAAAAAGGTCACCTTTGACAACTCAACCCTGAACGTCAAGGTTAGGCCCCTCCGCCCCTAGCCCCATCCCACCCACATGACCCTCTGGCCCTTTTTTGCTTGGTCGTCAATATCAACTCAAGTTCCATCCCAAACTTAATTCAACCCATCTCCCGTTCGCCATGCCGCAGATCTCACAAAAGACAGGCAAAAAATCGGATCGCCGCCCAGCTGTCATCGTTCCAGGAGGAGGTCACATGCGCGCTGCCGACACTGCTGCTGCAAAGACAGCCCTAAATTCAGCCTTGCCGACCCCTGCTTCGGCAACCAAGGGCAAGAGGTCAATCTTTGATCGTCTTGAAGCCCCGCCAACAGCAGAGCGCCCTCCACCTGCCAAGGCGCCAGCCTCCAAACTGCGGGGTCAGCAATCCCAAGTCACCCCAAAGGATGCCGACCAGCGCCGCTCCTCAGCACGCGGCAATGCACGCAGAGCCATTGCCGATCCTGATGTTTCTCAGGTATCAGATGACTCACCTTCGCCGCCAGCGGTGCGGCGCCGCACCTCAGAAGCCCCGGAAAGCACCGCCCGGGCGCCGGAGCGCCGGCTCGTGGGCTACCAACCCAAAACACAAGCACGGCCAGAGACACCGCCGGCATCCAACGGTCATGACACCCACGGCACACGACCTTCCTCACGTCCAGAATCAGGGCGCAACCCCGGTTTTCGTGTCGATCTGCGAGCGGGCACAACGACACCCACACCAAAGCCCATGCCTTCCACCGACTCGGAAGTCATTCGCCGTCCTTCACACGATGGCCCCACTTCAACTCGCGAACGTAGTCCCGCCATTTCTTCGCAGCCGCGTGCACCCAGCCGGGAGCGGTACCCCCCTCAAGTCGACCAGCCGCGTGCCCCCAGCCGGGAGCGGTACCCGCCTCAAGTCGACCAGCGCCGTCCACCCAGCCGGGAGCGGTACCCACCTCAAGTCGATCAGCGCCGTCCACCCAGCCGAGAGCGGTACCCACCTCAAGTCGACCAGCGCCGTCCACCCAGCCGGGAGCGGTACCCGCCTCAAGTCGATCAGCGCCGTCCACCCAGCCGGGAGCGGTACCCACCTCAAGTCGACCAGCGCCGTCCACCCAGCCGGGAGCGGTACCCGCCTCAAGTTGATCAGCGCCGTCCACCCAGCCGGGAGCGGTACCCACATCAAGTCGACCAGCGCCGTCCACCCAGCCGGGAGCGATACCCACCTCAAACTGAGCAGTTTCGCCGCCCATTTGAAGGGGATCCTGGCTATGGTGGTGATGCACGCCACGAAGACCGACGTGGCGATGAGCGGGGTCGACGAGGACCTCCTCGTGACGGCCCATGGGATGTGCAGCCACGATATGAGCAGGGCATGGCGCCTCGGCGCGCCCCAGGCAGATTTGAGCGAGATCCCATTGCCCGGGAACCGGCCTATGATCGTGACATGGACCGTCGTGGTGGCATGGAACGGGCTGATCGTGGGCCCGCTCATGGCCGAGCGCCATATGATTCAAGAGGGCCGCCTGGGCCCCGAGGTGGGCCCCGTTCACCGTCGCGAGAATCCATCCGGGGTCGTGGAGGCCGCTCATGGGCGCCTGAAAGTGATCGTCGTGACCTTCCTCGCCGTGATCGGTCGCCCTTTCCAGCCCGCGAGGGTGCTGGGCACGACTCACGCCGAGCGCCATCGCGCAACGAACTTCGCAAGATGGAGCGAGAACGACGTCGACTCCGCAACGAGGCGCGAGCGAAGCAAGTTGATCCTCTGCCCGTGTATGCCGAGTCGCGTTTGAAGGCGGAGCGCGAGCAATGCCTGCAAAAGCTACACTTACCCATTGCCAAGCCAAACTAGTATTTCATTGGCACTCGCCTGGGCAAGTCCTTGAGTGACTGGCTGTAGGACTATGCGCGACAGGGGCGCGATGCTGTCTGAATTCGAGCCAAGCAGCCTCCCTTGCCTTTATGGAAAAACCAAAAGGAGGCGTACATCAGAGTTTGATGGGAAATGCCTCGTCTACTTTTATCCCTTGCACAATCAATCAGCCAAATATATCAGTCAATCCGTCAAATAATTCACACGTCAATTTGCCCCAGCAGACCCTCAACTGACAGCTCGGGGCTCTTGGAGTCTGGCGGCAGAGTACCCTGACGATGTCACTACATGTTTTGAATCTTTTGCAACATAACAATGGCCCCGATCTGGAATGCCGATAGCACAGCCGAAAGCCACAGCAACATGGCCTGCGCCGCTTGCCTATGTACGGAGGGCCATGAATGAAGGTGCCACAGGTTTGAGGCACGGCGGCGCTGACGGGCGAGGGAACACTCGAGAGCTTACCCGATGAACGCGGAACGATCCGGTGACGCGCGGTCATCGCTCTCGGTAGCATTGAGCGTCGAGATCGAGGACCCTGACGTGGCCGGCCAACCAAGCCTACAGAGTACAGCAATGCAGTTGGCGACGGGTCACCTTCAACCAAAGTTGCGCGGCTTGCAGGAAATTGCAAACGTACTTGATCAATGCGATGGCGGCCGGCACAAACAAAAGCGTGGCGGGGAGCAGCAGCTGCAACGCAACCACAATGCTGTACTGCCAGACATGTTCCACCTGTTGTCGTTGGGAGCATATCAAACCGTTATGCTGTGCGGGGCAAGAACCAACGCAGGCCAGTTGATGATCCTCGCAAAACGCGAACCGTTTGTTGAATCTGGCCAGCGCGCACGGTTGCGGTCGGCGACGCGGTTGATGTTTTGGTCTTGGCTTTTTTTTTAGCCTTCTTGCTTGTGGATGCGGTGCTCTCGTCTTCTTGTTCAACGTGGTCATCTTCACCCTGGCCCCGCAAGAGAGCGGTGCCTTTCTCAAAGGCCGAGTTCAGATAGTATTGCATCGAGGGACGCAAGCTGCCAAATTGGCTTGCCAAAGCCAATAGGGCCAGTGTTGCCCGCAACGCGATCAAGTCTGACCTACGTATGCACAAGCAAGTTCAATGTTGGGCGCTCGGCGTCAGGGTACCAAAGGCTTGTGGTTGCACAGCAGCGAGTGCTAGGCACGCACGTGGCTAGTCCTTGTTGATGGAGGGCATCGGCGATAGGTGTGAAGAAGGTGAGGCAAATGCCCAAGGGTGCCAGAAGCATGGTAATGGGACCAGTTCTAGAAAATGTCCGAAACGGCGTCAGTGTTTATAGTGACTTGCAGGAGCGAGAAATGGTCGGGGTGCAACTCACTGGTAGAGAAAGGCGGGCTCAGGTACGGTGCGAGAGAGCACGAAGTTGCGGGCCAAGCGAAGGGCAGGCAGGGCAAGGGCTGCAGCCAGCACACCTGCCATGGCGCTGGCCAGGAGCAAGATGGTTCGCAGATGTGTACGGCTAAAGCACGCATTGAACAGCACAATTGGGGCATTGAGCTGCCGGGCCGCGGACAGTATCGGGGCATACGAGATACGTATAACATGTGTAGGAAACAGGCGAAGACAGACCTATCGGCGGGAGATGGACGAGAGACAATCACGGGGTCACTGGCTGGAGTAGGCAAGTTGTCATCCGAGGTGGTTGGGGCTTGAGCAGCACTAATCTGCTGCACCCATTCAAGCTCCCATAAACCGTATTCTATTGCCCGATGAGCCACCGGGTGAGGAGGTACCGAAGCGGTGAGAAAGGGTAGAGGTTCGAAAGAGGATGCGGGGCAGGGTGTGGTTATGAAAACGGACCTTCTTCAAGGGGAATGTCAAAGAGATGCCCCGCGGTAAGGCTGAGGATGAGGGTGAAGAAGAAGACGAAAAACCCCGAGGCCAGGAGCAAAGAGGAGCTGCTTTGCCACAGGAGGCGGACCAGCGTGTTGATGCACTGGCGCAAAGCCGAAGTGAGGTCAGAGAGTCACGGGCACGCGGGTCAAGCAGGCGAGGTGCATCAGCGTTGTGCATGAGCCCCGCCATCAATGAATGTGGGAAAGCCATTCAGCATTGAAAGAAAGCAGGACATACGTGAGCACCGGTGACAGCAAGAAGGATGACGAGTGCGGAATAATTGGCGGTGGAGTGGGGATTGATCCAGCTCATGGTTGCCGAGACGATTGGCCCCACTGGAAAGGTTGAGCAGGGTGAGTGTCAGGCGCAGCCACGCCCTGATGCTTTGATGAATGCAAAAGAAAAACGGCGACGAGACTCACCCAGAGTGGCCAGGAGAAGCAAGAAAAGCTGGGACAGATGGTCGGCAAAGTGAAGCTTGGACCAAGAAAATGGCGTAACCTAGGGCAAAAACGGCGGAGCTTGGCGGTGAGTAGGTAATTGGTTCAGCAGAGGGGGTGAGGCAAGTGGAGAAGACGGCACCTTGACTTGGCGAAGCTGGAGGTCTGAGTTGGTAGGGATGCGAAAGTCCTCGACAAGGCCATCAGAGCGAGTCGTGACGGGTTTCGAGCTGAGACGAGCCAGTTCGGCCGTCTCAGGGGTCACGGTTCGTACCAATCTGTGTTTTTTTTTTGTTTTTTTTTTATGTTATCCAAAGCACATCATTGGTGTGTCAGAGTCGGGGCGGAGGCGAGAAAGGAGAGAAAGGAAAGACGGTGCGGGGCAAAGGGGGCCAAAGGAACGTCAGGGAGCGTGGCGGTCATTGCACTGACCCAGTGTACACGGCTTGGACAAAGGGGTAGACCTTGTTGACGCGTAGGAGAACAAAGATGGGGAGCAGGACGAGCATGAGTGGTCGCAGCACGTCTTGCACGGCCACGGCCGTAGCTGTTGAGGTCAGTCCCATGATGGACCTGCCATGTGGTCAGTCAGTCACAGCAAACAGAATGTGAGCCATATGCCTGGAGCGCCAGCTAGTTGCTCAATGCCTTGACACCCAGGGGATTTTGACGCCTCAGACCCGCATCCCAACCCACCTGTATCACCGCAAACGAGAGCGACGGGGCTTTTGGGGGGGCAAACGTCGACTTTTGATCCAGCCCCGACTGGCTTTCCTCAGCACTCTGAAACCTTGAGCACAGCAAGAGAGCGGGTCAACATCAAGCAAAGCATCCCATGAGCAAGCAAGTGTTCAATAACCTTGGGTCCCCACCACATGCAACCCACCTGCACAGTCTTGCCGAGCAGCAAAGCAGGTTCGCGTCAGCGACAGTGACTGAGCGGCACTGCCACTGCCGTTGTCGAGGAAAAATAAAAAATGAAATTTTAATTCTTAATTTTTTTTTAAATTTTAAGAGAGAGAGAGAGTTGTGTGAGAAGACAAATTAATTTTAAGGATATGGTTTTAAAGAGCTAAAATGATAATATGTCCTGGGAAATAAACTTTTGGCGGGATAGCACATGTACAAGCTGTGATTTGTGGTCTCTAGGGCTTACTCCACAAAGTCAAAGTTTCTCTGACGCTTCAACCAAGTTCGAAGCGTCTCTCTGATTTTCCCTTGTTATTACATCGAGATCCAAATACAAAATCTCCCCTCTCTCTGATCATCTACCACCACCAGACCCTCCCCTCTTCAATTCTCACTACTCCCCTCCCACACCTCTTAAGAAAATTAATTTTAAAGGATATGGCTTAACTTTACTAAGTGTTAAAATGATAATTTATCCTGGGAAATAAACTTTTGGCGGGGCGGATACAAGAAGCACATGTACAAGCTGTGATTTGTGGTCTCTAGGGCATACTCACAAAGTCAAACTTTCTCTGACTCTTCAACCAACTTCAAAGCGTCTCTCTGACTTTACCTTATAATCACAACAAGATCCAAACACAAAATCTCCCCTCTCTCTGATCATCTACCACCACCAGACCCTCCCCTCTTCAATTCTCACTACTCCCCTCCCACACCTCTAAAAGGAGAGAGAGAGATCGTCTGGTCTCTCTCTCTTGGCTGGCGGTCCTTGTGATGCTGGATGGAGGGCGCCGCGCTCATTTGCTCATTTGCCCGCTGCTGCTGCTGCCTGTTCATGAGCAGCGCTCGCGGCATCTTGCCGTTGGCCTTTTGCAAGTTTGAGGCACTGGCGTCGACTCTTTTTTTTTATTTTTTTTATTGCGGGTGGTGGGGGAAAGAAGGTCAACGACTTGGCACGAGTAGACCCCGGTCCCCTCTTCGAAGACTTGCTCCTCACTCTTCATCACCGCGGCCCAGTACCTGCCTTTCCTGCGGCTTGCGCCCACCGTTTCAGCTTCTGAATTTGAACCCCCCCCCCCCCCCCCTTTTTTGGCGGCGGGCAGCATGTTTAGGCGTGGATCACGCGCCAAAAACGCTGCTGCTGCCGCCGCTGCGGCTGCGGCGGCGGCCGGGGCGAGTCCCGGAACGGCCCCTACTGCTGGCCCCGTGCGCAGTGCCAGCATCTCCCAGGGCCATGGATCAGAGGTCGGCAGTCCCCGCCAAGGCGCTGGTGCCATGGCACAGGGGCCGGCAGCCGATGAACCTAGCCGCAGCCGCTCCGTGAGCGTCAGTACAGCCGCCAGCGCTGGCTTGCCGTTCAAGGCCAAATTCTTCGGCAACCTCAAAATCTCCAGTCAATTCAACGATTCTTCCCTGAACGAGGCCATGCTTGAGTGTCGCTCCATGGCCAAGGAACCCCTCAAAGTGTGGATTGACGTCCGCGACGCCGACGTTCGCATCGTCCACCGCAAAGACGACATGATCATCGGTACCCCCCTCGCCCTCCCTTACATTGCCGAGGTCAAGGTCACCACTGCCGACAAGAAGTTCTTTGTCATTGTCTATCGGCAAAACGAAACTCACCTCTGCTACACCTTCAGTGTCAAGGAGAAGGCCCGTGTCATTTGCGAAGCCATCCTCAACAAGCAGGGCCTCAACAAAGCCGCCGCTGACTCCGCTCCCGAACTCAAGTCCGCTTCCGACTTTGACCGCCCCGCCAGATCCAGCTTCTCAGCCGGCAGCAGCATCCGCCGTGGCCCTTTACCTGGCCGTCAATCCAGTATCCGCCAACTCGGTGGTCGTACCATCTCGGGTGACCTCAGTGGCCGCCGCCTCAACATTGACGTGGCCTCGGAATCCTCCACCGATCACGCCAACGACGTTCCCTTGGCCGGCCGCACCGCCTCCCCTTCCACGCCCACGACCCCCAGCTCCCCGGCGCCCGGCACCCCCACAACCCCGCGCACACCCTCCGCCCCCGAATTCAGCCGGTCTCGCTCCGGCTCCATGTCCTCCCATCACCCCACCGAGAGCCCGCTGGCGCGCCACACCTCCGCTCAACAATCCATGCGTGCCGGGCCTCCGAGCCGCAACCGCGCCCTTGCCTCCCAATTACGCCACGGCTACAAGGTGCAGGGTTATTACCTCGGCCATGAACTGGTCAATGCCCTTCGAGGCAAACACGTGTGCCAAGACGCCATGATGCGCAACTCCACACGCTGGCGCGAGCTTCAACGCAGGCGCCCCAACGAAAAACCTCGTGGCATCGTCCTCACCATCACCGAAAGCCTCGTTCACGCCGAGGACATGCAAGCCGGCACCCCACTCTTTAGCCATTTCCTCAAAACAGTCTCTTTCACCTGTGTCGCCCTCCAAAGCCCCGACCGCGGCGACGTGTTCGCTTATATCCGCAACGACGACAAAATCGGCCACGTCCAATGCCACCTCTTCCAGCTGCGTTTTGGTGACGGTGACAAACTCACCGCTGCCGTGAGCGAGGCCTTTCAGATCCTCAGTGAACAAAGCAAGGCCCTCGGTGACGATCCGTTTCGTGTCACCGACCAACGCCGGGAACCCGTTCGTGGTGAGCTCTTTTACAAACAAATTCACCGGCGCGACCTCAAGGCCATCAAGCAAATTGGCGCCGGCCAGTTTGGCGATGTTTGGCTGGCCAAACAAAAGGTATGCGTGTCCACTCGCGAGCTCGATCCCTTGCTTATCGGGGTTGCTGCAGCCCGTTACCCACACCTCGGTTCCATACTCGCGCACGTCGAAGGCCCGACGCCTTGACTTACAACCCGGGGCCATCTCTGACACCCCCCACCCCTCTTTTTTTGTCTTGCCATAGGTCGCCCCCGGACAGGGTGAGGGTGGTAGTGATAGCATCACACGAGCTGTCAAACTGCTTCGAGGCGCTGCAAGTGCTGCCGACAAAGAGGAATTCTTGCATGAGGCTGAAGTCATGCTCGAGCTGCGCCATGATCACCTCATCCGCATCATTGGCGTAGCTCTCCAGCAGAAGCCCTGGCTCTGTGTCTTGGAGTACATGCAGGTACGTCATTATTTGATCATGCGTGCCAACACATCTCCAAAATCCAGACCCAATGGAACATCCTAAAGCGAACGTGCTCACAAGCGATGCCCCACCACCACCATGCTTCCAATGTGTGATCCCACAGTATGGTGACCTGCGCTCAGTCCTCATGGCCTGCAAGGAAAAGGGACTTCAACTGCACCTTCACGAGATGGTTTGTCGTGTCTTGACTTCCGCGATGCCGCTTTTCCACCAAGTTCGCAGCTGACCCCTGGCCCCGGCTGTCTTGACTCACCTCTATGCCTATGAACATTCGCTTTCTTGCCTTGACTCAGATTGTCTGGTGCACGCAACTGGCCAAGGGCATGGCCTTTATGGCCGAATCGCGAATGGTCCACATGGACCTGGCTGCTCGTAACTGGTTTGTGGCTTGCCCATGACAAGCGCCTTGTAGTCGCACACCTGGTGGAGAGAGCCGTTGCTGTCTGCTGCTCACCACACATGCCATTTTGCAGCATGTTGGCATCCAACAATGTGGTCAAGGTGGGCGACTTTGGCCTCACGCAGCGACTGGATGAAGGCCACGATTACTTTTTACTTCGAACTCGCCTCAAGCTAGCCCTGAAGTGGTGTTCACCCGAAGGTCTTGATGAAAAGGTTTGTTTCAGCCTGCTTCCCCTCACAGACAGACTGTGCTGTCGATATCCCCCACTGGGCCATGGCATCATTGCTCACAACCCCGTCTTATTTGGGTATTGCAGATCTTTTCCGAGGCATCGGATGTCTGGAGTTTCGGCGTACTCATGTGGTCAGACCCGCTCTTGGTTGCATAACAGTTGTGGGGCAGTTGTAGACGCCAACTTCTGTGTGTGACATCTGATCGACTGGCACCATCAATAGGGAAATTATGATGTATGGCGAGGCTCCCTATGAGGAGATTGAGCTCCGCGACGTGCAGCGTTATGTTCGCGAAGGTGGCCGGCTGACACAACCGCCCGAGTAAGTCATTGTGGCAAGCTCAGTGCTCATCGGGGCGGTTCAAAACTCATGCCACCCTGCTCCGTTGTCATTTTCCTTCTGGTGCCACTTAGCTGTCCTGACAAGACATTTGCGGTCATGAAAAAATGCTGGAATTCGGACCGTCGCACTCGCTGGACCTTTTCAGCCCTGCAGCGCATGCTGGACGGCGAGCTTCGTTTCCTCAAGCCCCCGCCACCTCGTGATATCGGTGCTGTTTTGCACAATTCGGTACGGTACATGCTTGTGCCCAGCTCAAGAAGATGATCATCTGCACCTGGGGTTTGCCTGGTTTTGCTATTCTCCGCACAAACACCATCGCACATCTGAGCTTTTGCAATGGCGCTGTCGTACGTTTAGAGCACCTTGAAGCGGGGCGCCAAGCTCAGCCTGGATGACTTTGAGGCCGGGCAAGAGTCGACGGATGATACGCCCGTTGCACCAATGCAACATCGGTCCGTGTCCATACGCCAGACAGACACAATGGAATCACGACGCCGCAGTCGCACATTCTCTGGCTTGGACGAAAGCCAAGCCCGCGGCGTGGCACCGGCAGGCCTGAGCGACGCCGTACAAGCAGCGCGCAACAGCTTTCGAAAGGCCAGCTTTTCTGCCACGGCCGAGAGCCTAAAGTGAGAGCTTTTTCTTGCAAGCGCGCCATGCCATTCAAGCGCCGCACGCGTCGTCTTGTCTCGAATCTCCAGTGCTTGTGCTTGCGTGGGGAACATGGAGATAGTGCTAGGGTTTCTTGTCTAGTTGTGATTTGATGGTCTTACTTTCTTTTCTTTTTCTTTTTTTCTTCTTTCTTTCTTTCTGTTTATTTTTTCTTTTGCTTTTTTTTTGTGTGTATGTGTATGTACCCGGATGTATGCATGTATGTATATATGTGTGTTATTGTACTTGCGGCACCGACGGCTTTGATGTTGTGCTATCGGGACGCCATCGACCCCCGTGTTTTTTCTGGCCTGCGTCGGTGTGAGATCCACTCTGCGTGTCGTGATTGTTGAATTTGGCCATTCCCCCCTTTATGTTTTTCGAAATACATTGTCATTGCCATGCCTTTGTTGCGCCCCACCATCCGGATCGCTTTCCCCCCAACGACATGATTCACGAGCCATATGCGTGTGCCCGCCTGGTTGGCCACGCCATTTTGTCAGGGTCAACTCGGTTTCGCGTGAGAATCCGCTGCAAAAGCTGCAACAGAGTGCAGATGCAGAAATGCACAGCAGGAGGACAAACGGCATTGACGATGATGAAGAAGAATTCGATCAACGTACGCCGACAAATTCGCTCAGTCCATCACAGAAGAAGGGAGCAAAGGGGGAGCTTGCCACGATGCCCATTCAGAGCCATCATGATTCATACTCGTATTTTCGTTCATGCTTCTTCCTCGGTCACCATCTGTGATTGAACTTCTTCGTTTGCTTTACGACGGGGCGAATGTTTTGCACTGGTATGTGTGCATACAGCTGATTCACACAAGTCTGCTGCCACACCGGCGGACATGTCGGTCCTGGCCGGTACGTCCTTGCTGTCCGTTTATACAACGCCCACGTCCATAGTCAGCGCACGATAGCCTAATGCACTCCTCTGCTTGGCAATCGATCCTGTCCTATCAGCGGCCCTGATCGATGATGAAGAGGACGCCTTTGCGGGCTTTGGCCATGAGGATGGCCAGGGTGCGAACATGAAGGCAGTGCAAAAGTTGGGCCACACACCCCCCATGCACCGACGTCTTCCTGACCCACACTCACCACGAGGAGCGCGGCGCCCTTTGGCTCCCAAATCCCCAGCCCCCGAAGCCTTTCGCACTCCTCCTGCGTCAGCATCCGAGCCGGGGCTATCAGAACACACCCATCGCCACCTCCCTAATCATCCTCAGACGGCTTCGGCAACGCGGTCCCCTGCTGCGTCCTCGCCGGCCCGGCCATCAATCACCACTAAGCCCGGGCATCAAGCGGCGCCCATGAGCACCACGGCATCTGCGGATTCCCTTGAGCATGACAAGCGCATGCTCACGCTTAATCGCCGCAAGAAAAAGGAGCAGGATTTGGCTCAGCAGGCCGAGAAACTGACGGTGCGTTCTGTTCACCGATGCAAGCACGGCGAGGCACCGACTCTGACATGTGCCCCGCTGAGCCCGCTTGCGTTGACGAGCGATTTTCTTCTTCGTCTTCTTCCTTTTCACTTTGTTCTGCCCGATTGGGTGTGCACTCTTTGAATCATGGCGCAGTTGTCAGCTAAGGCGACCAAGTCCTTGTCCTTGACCAAGGGTATGGGTCAAATGCTACAAGAACAAACGGCAGCGCAGGACCCCTTGAGCAAGCACAGCCGAATCTACGAGGCACTCAACCCCAAGCCACTTTGGCGACAGACGGTGACAGAAAAGTATGTGGCATATCGAGTTGATATTGCAGGTCGTGGTGTGTCGGTTCGTGCACTCGCTTGCCTCTGACCCAAGCATGTTTGCTCTAGGCGGCAAGCAGACGAGGAGCGTGTGGAGCTGGGCGCTGTCGGGGCCGGCAATAGCTATGTGTTGCAGGCAGCCCTCGATCCGGACGAGCCAATGAGCGTCCCTGCTGCCGATGAGACGTTTCAAGGCTTTTCCGAACCGGAGGAGGACTCAGATGAAGAGGAGGAGGAAGAAGTTGAGCGAGATGAAGAGGAGGTGTGTGCATTTGTTTTTGCTGCCCCAAGCTTTTTGAAAGATTGACATGAGTCTGACGGCCTTGGGGTGATCACAGATCAACTTTGACGCTGATCTCATGGCCATGTTGGAGCGCAACCGCGAAGCGCGTGCGCGTGAGGAGGCGGAGCGCCGCGCACGCTTGAAGCGCGAACACGAGGAAGCACAGCGCCGCGAGGCGGCTGAGCGTGAAGCCATTCTAAGCAAAATTCGAGCGCAACAGGCCGAAGAACGGGCTCAGGAGGTGGGTATCCCCCAGGCTTTGATGCGCTTTTTGTTTGTTTGATGTTTTCAAACAAAATTCACAACCTGGTCACCCCTGGTTGTTTTTTGCTATGCAGGAAGCCGAGAAAGCCCGGCATGCGGAGGTCGCGCTGCAACGTGCTTCGGCCATGACATTTTCCTTTTCTTGGAACTGACTTATCATCCGAGCGATACGCTGGTGTGATGAATGCCTCGAGGTGTTTAGATCACCAATTGATGAAAGGGAAAGCTAACCGGAGTCAAGTCGCAACCTTGCAACATTAGCAATTGGAACAGAGCCTCGGTGGTGATGGTATGGGAAGGTGTGGTGTGTGCCACAGGCCACTGCTGGAGGTTGATCACAAACGACAGCGCAGATCGATCATTCCGAAAGCGCGCGCAATGCGCAACACTAAGCTACACTGGGTGGCGGCGCAGCCGCTTAAAAGGATCGGACTTTTTTGGTGGCTTTGGCGGTATGTGCTCGGCCCGCGCGTTTTGCGATTGGCTGACGAGGAGCCTTTGGTTGAGCTTGTCTTTTGGGCGAGCGAGCCTGGTCAGTTGGCAGGGGCTGCACATTGCCTTTGCGATGGCGATGAATCAGCACCTGGCGTGTAAAGCGGGACAAAAAGAAAAAAAAGAAAAAAAGGCATGAGCGTTTGAAAAGCGTTCAAATAGCGTTGGTACCAACGGTACGACGGGGAGGATCATCTAAACGCGAGGCTTGAGGGCCAATACCTCAAGCTCATGGGCACGTTGCCGATCCTGCTTGGATACGAGGTTGATGACACTTCCCCTGATAAGAGCCACAAACGCGCGCGAGCGTGTGAGCATGAATGAACACAGCAAGGGTGAAAAGTTTTTGTGTGGACGTCTCTGACGCAGAAGGAATGTCATGAGCGGGTCGGAGTGTGGGGCGCGTGGTGACAATGACACACACCTCTTGCCAGCGCGGCCAGTGCGGCCAATACGATGCAAGTAGGCATGATCGGTCTGTGGGAGGGTGTAATTGACGACCAAGTCAACCTGGGGAGGCATGTGCGTGGCGGGCACAGGCAAAACGGTTGGCATGAGCACGGGTCTCGGGGGTGAGGAGGGGGTCGGGAGTTGGCAATGCCAAAAAGGCACCTGGGGCAGATCAAGACCACGGGCAGCAATGTCGGTGCAAATGAGGATGTTTACGCGGTCCTCTTGAAAACGGGCGAGTTCAGCGCGACGGGTGGCCTCGGACATGGTGCCACAAACAGCAGCGGATTGGAGGCCTTGCTCTTTGACAAATTTGACGGCCCAGGCCAGCGTAGTGGCGTCGGGGACAAAGAGAATCATGGCTTGCCAGTCGGGCTGGAACAGAATACTCTTGAGTTCCAGGGGTTTGACGTTGGGGCCTTTCAGCTTGCGAAAGGTGTGGGAGATGCGAGAAGGGAGGAGGTGAAGGTCGCGGGTGCCGGCGAGTTCGATTTTTGGCCAGTGCGTACGAAGGCGTTCGTATGCGCCCGAGGTGATGGTGGCGCCAACGGCGATGAGTTGGAGGGAGCCTCGGGCCGGTGTTGGGTTGGCGGGGGACGCTTCAGCCGGTGGGGACCGGGACGGGGTGTGCTGCTCACGTTGCTCAACGTGGCGCCAGAGCGGGGCCAGGTCGTCGGCAAACTCACGGAGAAGAATGTCCACCTCATCAAGGACCAGTGTGGTCATGTACGATGGGTGTAAACGCTGCTCGACCAAGAGCTGTTGGAGGCGACCTGGGACGCCCACCAAAACATCAACGCCATCCTGCAGGTGGGTGAGGGTACCGCTTTGGGTAGCGAGACAGGCTTGGAGGCCAGAGGGCCCGGCACAGAGCTGCTGTGCGTGATCAAAGATTTGGCGGGCGAGAAGTCGCGTGGGAGCAACAATGACGGCGCGCGCTTGCTGGGGGCCTGGGGCGCCGTGGGCTTCACGCTGAGCCAAGAGGCGGGACAGCACGGGAAGGAGGTAGGCCATGGTTTTGCCCGTTCCTGTTGGGGCGGCCAAGAGAAGGGATTGGCCGTTGACCAATCGTGCGCAGGCAAGCGTCTGAATGTGAGTGGCCTGGCTAAACCGGTAAGACTTGAGAGCATGGCGGACTTCCGGGTGGATGGGAAGTTGTTGCAGGCTGTCGCCTTGGCTAAAGATGCTGCGCCCAGACGTGCGTAGGGTGTTGCTGACGCGTTTGATGGTGTCGGGTGTTCCACTTTCACCTGGGTTGAGCCATCTTTTCCACCGCGGCGCAGGTGCAGGCGACCCCGCCTTGCCCTTTGATGCAGCTGAACGCGTCTCATTCCCATGTCTGCCCGTTGGGGCCGCGGCAGCCGGTACGTCTGCGGTCGGGTCCTCGGGATTCCAGGCCGACTCTACCCATCGCGGCTCGCGCGCACTCAATCTTGCTGTAAACAGTCCCCGGCGCACCCCCCGAGCCCCACATCCCCAAAGGGATAGTCGCCTCGCAACATCCGGCCCCTGTTCAATCCATTCGGTGCCCACACGCACCACCGCATGCGCCACCCGCGCTGCCATTCTCGCGATTTCCAAAAACTCTCTCTCTCTCTCTCTCTCTCTCTCTCTCTCTCTCTCTCTCTCTCTCTCTCTCTCTCTCTCTCTCTCTCTCTCTCTCTCTCTCGCGCGCGCCACGAGACATCAAATGTCTGACATTTATATGTCAGACGAAATGACCTCATTCAGAGAAGATGTAGTGATCTGATTAGAAGATGCAGAAGGTCAATTTTATACCACGTATTTGTAATATATTACGTGTAGAGAACATGTCGCATATCGGTAGGATGTTGCAGAATGGGGTCCGCGTTATCATGTTACTAGGGATGACTGCGCGTCTTGATGGCGGTCGGTGGGTGGTCCTGCCCGTCCACGTCTGCCCCGTTCCTCGGTCAGCTGTCTCTCTCTTCTGGATCGCTCCAACACATACACACACTCTCCCTCTCCCTCTCCGTCTCTCTCTCGATTGCCCCGATTGCTGTTCTCTTCGCTCCTCCCTCCCGCTCGTGTGTGTGCGTCAGCGGTCTCCGCCCTCCCTCCATACGACACGAAATTTCAACGCAGAGTTGATGCCGTAGATATCGAGGATATTGTTGTCAGATAACACAGTTTGTGTATAAAATTATCATTATTATGAAGTTTTGAATGAAGCATCAGTGTTGCTTTTTGTACAGTTTATCAAAGATATTGCGGGGCGTAAACGGACTTATATCCAAGGTGTTTGATGTTATTGTGTATATGCGTCTGTGTGACAGTCAGCGTTGTCCGCCCCCTCGATCTCTCTAAACTCTCACTCTCTCGATCTCAACCTCTCTCTCTCTCTCTCTCTCTCAACCTCTCTCTCTCTCAAACTCAAACTCTCAAACTCTCTCTCTCAAACTCAAACTCTCAAACTCTCTCTCTCAAACTCAAACTCTCAAACTCAAACTCTCTTTCCTTCTCAAAAACTCTATCTCAAAAACTCTCTCAAACTCACATCTCTCTCTCTTAAAAACTCTCTCTCTTTCAAACTCTCTCTTAAACTCTCTCTCTTTCAAACTCTCTCTCTCTCAAACTCTCTCTCTCTCTCTCTCTCTCTCTCTCTCTCTCTCTCTCTCTCAAACTCTCTCTCTCTCTCTCTCTCAAACTCTCTCTCTCAAATTTTTCGTCGCCGACGTTGCGGGCGGACCTTTCGGTCACGACGACGCCTCGGGGCTGCAGTTTCCGCTTCTTCCACCCGTCTTTGAACGGCCAAGCGGCTGGATCTCCACCACTCTCTGTGATCGATCCTGGCCCCCCGCCCCCCCACTTTTTTTTCCTCGTTGTTGTTGTTGTGCTGGCACAAATAATCAGCATCTGGATGCGCTGAACGTGTGTCGTTCTTGGTATGGTGGCGCGATTGCGACTCGGCTGGAACTGTTTGGACACACGGCATGCCTGCGCTGCCCGTTCTCATTCTTGTCGCTGCTCCTCAGAACCCAACTTCAATCATGGCCGAGCAACACATTGAGGCAGTGCAGCTCGACGACCTGGCCGCCTCGCAGGATGTTGTCGTCAACGTCAACTTTCGGTGCGTGTTTCCCTCCCGCCTTTGTTTTTTTTTTCTGTTGGCTCAAAGGTCACCCCTCCTCTCATCAGTCGCCTCACCTTCCTTCTGTTTGGGTTGAGACAGTGAAAGTCAGACGGATGACACCCTCGAGCGCATGCGCCAACCCGATCCGGCTGGTCCCCAAGGGTCGCAACACGACCACGCCCCGCCCTCCTACAACCCGGCCCCGCGCTACATGGGTGACGATTCGACCACGGGCACAGGTACCAGCCACAGGCCCCGGCAACCCAAGTTGGAAAAAGGATCCTCAACCACAACTCACATCGACATGGTTCCCATCTGCCTAGAACTTACCTCGGCCGAGCGCGTCGAAGATCCGCTTTCAGAGGATGAAGAATTTGCCGGCGCCTTTCACGACCCCCGCCCCAGGTTAGGCAGGCTTGATGCGTGGTGTGCCACAAAGTCATCACAAGCTTTTTTTTTATGCCCTTGATGGGTTGAACGCCGAGCGTTGTTCCCACCGGCCAACCTCAAATCAATGCCTCCTTTTCCCTTCCCCTTAACCCGTCCACATATGACAGCAGTCATCGGTTTCGAGAACTGGTCGCGGGCATGCCCAGCCGTCGCCCGGGCATGCAAGAGGTTCAACAAGAGCTTGCCAACCAAAAAAGCTTGCGCCGGCGTACCGATTTTAGCCTGCGCCATCTGGACTCGGAAGTGCTCGAGCTCCTTGATCGCAGAACAAGCGAGGCCAATGACTCGGCTGACTTTTCGCGGCGGCTCTCCGCCTCCATCCGAGCTCGCTCGCACCGCAACTCCTCCCAGACCATGCGCCGCAAAACCCAGTTTGATGCAGAGCTCGTCGTATGTTAAACTACCCTCCTCCTCCCTTCTATACCCACACGCAAGACTATTCATGGAGGAAGGCGGCAGCACGAGTCGTTTGTTCGGCCCTCACCGACATGTACATACCTCATTGCCTATGCAACGGCCAATGACCCCATCATTTATCGCCATTGGTAGAAACACATTGATCATATCAAGCAAGAGCCACGCCGCATGAGCGCCAAACTCAATGTCTACCGGTTTGTTCTGTCCACACCATCGACTCCTGTCGTCGCCACCATCCACATCCTTGACTGCTCTCTGACACACCCCTCACGTGGCTCCCCGGCCCGTTCAGCGACGAACAACACGAGCTTGAGCAAAACCTCGAACTTATTTCGGGCTGGCAACTCTGGTGGGCCACAACTTCCATCGTAAGTTGGACTTTTTTTTTCTTCTTCTCAGTTTCCATGTTCAAGTATTCTGCCGGGGATCTGGCTGCATCACAACCACGCGCTTACACACAAGCGTCTCCTCATTTTTTCGCGTCTCTGTTTAGAAATGGCGCCACTTTAAGGAGGAATTTGGCATGTTTTTGCGCAACCTTGAAATTTGGAACAAGGACATTAAGCACCTCGAAGGTCACTTCCCCGGTTCCTTCATGACTGCACATTTTGAGCAAATTCTTTCATCCTCTTTCTCACTTTGCAAACATCACTCGACACGATCCCTGCCTTTGGCCTTTAGGCCGTCATGGTCAGGCCGTGGGTACCTACTTTCGCTTCTTGCGCTCAACTTTTATGCAGAGTCTGCTTATGGGCGTTCTCTACGCCGCCTTTGTCGTCATTCCAGTGAGTACCTGTGAGTTCTACCACCCCTTGTTGCTACCCCGTGCATCTCACACACCAAATTGGTCGCTGCAGTACTCGCTGGACTATGGCTTTGACAGTCAACATGACTTTTTGACGCCGGCCATGGAGCGTTCCTTCGATGCGGGCACGGTGGTTTTGGGTCTCTTTACCGGTGGCGTGCGTTTCTCTCTGCCAGCTGTGATCCAGTCCTGTCCTGCACCCATCATCGTGCATTCGTGATCTCACCTCTGCCGGATATTGCTGCACTCTGGCAGGCGTCCCTCAATTACAGCGCTTACTTCATCGGCTCGTATATGACTGAAACCGAGTACGACAATGCCGAGGAGTTTGATGATGGCTACTACATCCCCTTGGCTTACATCCTTGTCACAGGCATCTCGATCCTGCTGATCATTCTCTACATTCTTGTGCGGTGCGTGCGTTGGCCCCACGTGGCAACCCCCCTAACACACACACACGGGTCGAGTTTGCAAGCGCTTGGCATAAGATGATGGCTCACGCTTTGCCCTCGATCGGGGGTCAACGCCTGATTTTAGCTTGGCAAACAACATTTACAACATGACCAACTACGTCGACGAGGGCCAGACCCCCATCTCGCAGATTGTGTTTACCGGCTACGATCACACCGTATTTGACCCCCTCTCCGTCAAATTACAACGCGTCGCTCTGCGCCGCCTGCTCATGGTGTGTTTTGGAGAAACGCCTTGTTTGAGTTCCGCCCCTCTTTATCGTAGCCGGCCCTGCGCAAATCTTTGCGGTTCTCATCGAAGCCACCCCGTGTGCGATGCTTGATAACGCTAGGAGCAAGTCTTTGAACAGGAATCGCGCGAAAAGCACAAGGAGAAGGATCACAAGACCATCATGCTGAAGCGTCTTGGCATTAACTTTGGTGGGTAATGCTTGCAGGCCTGACTTTCGTTTTGTGCTGTACAGCAAGCCACCGTGCGCGCGCGCCCCCCACACTCAATGTCAACAACCGCACCTGGTCTCATTTCTCGTTTGAACCATATCTGAAGTGGTTTTGCTGATTTTGGTGGCCAGCTTCTACGCCATTACCGAGGCCGTCGCAGCGTTTGCCGATAGTACCAACTCGGCCGAACAGCTCGTTCCCTCCATCATCGTGAGCATTTTGAACCAGGTACGACCACTTGAGCGTTCCAATCAAGTGGGATCTGATCTTTTGTGACCATAAATTAGTGTGCTGACGTCGCGGGTGTACACGCTTGCCCAATCAAGGCTGTGCCCATTTCCTTTGAAATCTTGGCCCGGAAAGAGGATTGGCGCACGCCGCTGGAAGGCATCCAATGGACCATTGGCCGGTGCGCTTCGATTGTTGTCATGATGCGCGCGTGACATTGCTTGGGCGGTACTCTCACGGCTCGTACTGCTGACGTTTGATTAGGAGCATCATCTTGCGTATCGGCAGTCTCTACGCATTTTTCTACACCTACTTCATCAATCGCGGCAATCGCATGTGCTGGGAAACCTATGTCGGGCAACAAGTTTGTAAGTCTTGAATTTGGGCCGGTCCACGCCGAACCGCGAGTCAACTTCCTAAACGACCATGCCTGAAACGCCGGCCTTTGACCTTGTAGATACATTTGTGGTCATCAACTTTATCGTCGAGATCATGACTTCGCTTTTCATCGACCCTGTGCGCAAGGCCCTTTACGAGAAGACGACCTGGTTTCGAAAGTGCGTACGCAGCAACAGTGTATCGAGTGTGTTCCGAGGCGAGCGCGCAACTTGACGCTGCATTGCTCTGGCCGTCCTTAGGTACTTGCCGACGGCGCGTTTCCAAACAATCAAGTGGTGCGTTTGCCGAACTTCATCTTTGCTGGCAGCCGCACTCGATCACTCACATGAGGCTTTTGCTGATATGACAGTACTTTGGAGCTGATGTGGACGCAGGCCATTGTGTGGTTTGGTGCCTTTTTTTGCCCTTTGCTGCCGTTTTTGGCCGCTGCCAAACACCTGGTTCTTTTTTACTGCAAGCGTTTCTCCACTATGCGGGTGAGTCCTACGGACCTTGGGGCACAGCAGGGGCTCCTGAACGCCATTCTTCTGCTCACTGTGGTCTCGGGATTTGCTCGCTTGTTTGATCCTTTGGTTGCTTTTGATATTTTGCTTCAACTCGCAGTTTTGCGCGCCGCCAGAGGTCGCCTTTCGTGCCACTTACAGCCTGGGCACGCTCATCTCCTTCATGATGCTGTTTACAATGCTTTGCATCACACTCCCTCTTGGTTACAGCATCACCCAGTCAGTCATGCGATGGAAAAGGATGCGGCGCGCTTGCGACTTTGTGCATGGTGGACCAGTATTGCTCACGCGCCTTGGCTGTGTGTGTGTGTGTGTGTGTGTGTGTGTGTGTGTGCGCGCGCGCTAAAGGGTTGTGCCCTCGGGCTTTGAGATGGACAATGCTGATCGCTGGATTGAGGCTGGGGCGCTGACGGGTGCCACCTGTTCCTCAAACACGCACACGTGCGCAGACTGCTTGGTGGAAGACTTCAATGCCTCTGAGACTGTGTGTTTGCTGCAAGAGGAAGGGCCCTATAGTGCGGGCGTGGCAACCACGCTTGGGGAGCTGTGTGCTGTGTGTCCGTCTGGCTGCGGCCCCTTTCGACATCAATTGTCAGCCATGACAGTGCTGTTGGACGAGTATGCGACCTGGCCTTCGCGCGTCAAGCAAATTTTTGACTACATGGGGACTGTGGCGTTTGCCATGGTCATCATCTTCATGCTCGTCACTTGGATTCTAATTATCAAATCCCGTCTATCAGCCGAGCGCCGTGTCATTGCGCGCCTTCAAGTGGAACGCGACATGGAGCGCCTGGATAAGCGATGGATTTTGCGAAAGTTTGCCATCACCTTTGAGGCAGAGCAGGGCCCCAACTTTGAGAACATGGGCCGAGGCCCCGTGTAAACCCCTTGCATTATCGGGCCATAACAACTGCGTCTCATTCGTGGTCGATCGTCGATGCGTCGGGGCGCCTCTACTCGACCTTTTAAACGAGTATTCAAGAGTTTTTGGCAGAGTCGAGTGTGGCCAATTCAACCGTCTTTACTTGTCAATGACAATCCAAATCCCCCGGCTGCCCTGATTCAACCGATGAGCGGGAGAATGGCCAGTCACCCCTCTTTTGAAATCTCTTCTCTCTTTCTCTAAATCTCTCTCTCTAAATCCTAAAATTCTCTCTCTCTCTAAATCTCTCAGTCTCCATTTCCCTCTCTCTCTCTCTCTCTCTCTCTCTCTCTCTCTCTCTCTCTCTCTCTCTCTCTCTCTCTCTCTCTCTCTCTCTCTCTCTCTCTCTCTCTCTCTCTCTCTCTCTCTCTCTCTCTCTCTCTCTCTCTCTCTCTCTCTCTCTCTCTCTCTCTCTCTCTCTCTCTCTCTCTCTCTGAGCTGCATTTGCCTGCGACTTGGCGGGTCTGCTGCACTTCGTGGCCGGTGACTGGGCGGGTCTGGTCTTCGTGGCTCTGGCATCTGAATGGCATCGAGGCACAGTGGGTGTCAGTCTGATAGCCTTCCTCTTGAGTCCCGGGGCTTTTTTTTTCCTCCTGCTTTCTACTTGGCTCTCTAGCTTGCGTGCTGG